TGCTCCCCCACCCTTCCTGGTGCCGTAACCCAATCCCCCGGGTATAAATACCCCGTCCCTGCTGCTCCCTGCAGGGATCCAGGCGTCCGCTTGGCCCTGTGGATTAACGGCCGGAGGCTAACGGGGGCCTCAAGCCCTGCAAGAGGAGAGGGGGCTCCCTGCTGCCTCCCCGCGGCGTTACGCTCCCTCAGCTGATCCCTACGATCCCGATTCCGGCCCCCGCGCACAAATCCTGTCCCAGGACGCAGCTGAGCAGAACAGCGGCCCCAGGGAGCCGGAGCTCGTTCGTGCCGTGGCGGGGACTGTTAGGTTTTCTTCTGCTTGCGACCTGGGGGCAGGGGAAAGCGGGGGTCAGAGCCGGGACCCCCACGCCGATTCCTGCCCCGTGAGAGGACGCGGGGTGGCACTCACGGAGCTCATTGTTGTTGGTGATGGCAGTGGCGGCACGGGCGCGGGGGCCTTGCTGCGTGAAGTGGTAGCCAAAGCGCACGACGGAGGGGCACTGCTCCAGCATGGTGGCCATCTCCATCTCCACCGTGTCACCCAGCCGCTGGCACTGTGGGCATGGGGTGAAACCAGGCACGCCAGGAAGTTGGGGACACCCCTGTCCCCTCCGCAGGCCACCTGTGGGTGCCCATCCCCTACCTGGTTGTCCACCTTGAGCTCGCTCAGGGTGGTGTTGTGGTACATGGCCTTGATGATGCTCATCATGCCGGCGCTGGTGATGAAGTTTGATTCGATGTTGAGGCTCTGCAGGGTCTTGTTCTCCATCAGCATCTCGGCCACGGCCTGCGTGTCACCTCAGGGTGTCACCTCGGGGTGTCACCCAGTGCTGGCACCCCACGGCTGGCATGTCCTGGGCCACCGATGCCCCAGGCGATGGTGGAAAAGCCACCGTCACCTGGCCTTGCTGGTGCCCAGGATGGAACCGCATCCCCTCCCTGCCTGGGGACATGTCGGGGCACAGGGGACACGGTGCCGGGACTCACACTGGCCACGGGGTCGTTGCTGCGGGTGGCTACCAGGCTGAGCTTCTTGACGTGGGTGTTGGTTTTCATGGCCTCGCAGATGGCTTTCAGCGTGGAGATGGGAATGTCCTGCAGCAAGGGGACGTGGGTGGCACCGAGGGGATGGGGACATCCCCGTGGGGGTGTGGGTGGCACCAAGGGGCTGTAAGTGGCAGGGAGGGGGCTGTAGATGTCCCCAGGGGTATGGGGGCATCCCCGAGAGGGTGCTGGATGTCACACAGGGATGTAAGCGGCACTGAAGGGATGTGGGGTGTCACCAAGGGGACACAGATGCCCCAGATGAGGACCAGCACCCTGAGGTGCCCTGGAGCCACTCCAGGAGGGGCCAAACACCTCTGGGATGCCCCAAGACCAGGACCAACCCTGCAGGGACACCCTGGGACAGGGTGACCAAGCCTCACGGGGACACCCCAGGGTGGGGCCCATCACCGTGGCAGCACCACAGCTGGGAGCTGCAGTGATGCCCCAGCATGGAGGCACCTTGGGGTGCCCTGGGGACACTCTGGGGTAGGGACCAGCCCCATGGGGACCCTTCCAGGATGGGGATCGGGGTGCCCAGGCCCGGGACTAGCACCCTGGGGACGCGCTGGGGACATTGCCGCCAGGTCCTTCACCTTGATGTTGTTGAGGTTGACGTCCTCCAGAGCCCCGTCGTTGGCCTGGATCTGCCGCAGCGTCTCCTCCACGTTGGTGGGATTCGGGGGCTCATCCGGCACCGGCTTGTACGTGTCGGGCTTCACCACGCCTGGGGCACACGCGTGTGCATGGGGACACACGTGACCGCGCACGGGCGCGCGGACACGTGCGTGGGGTCACCAGCGGGGAATCCCGGAGGGGTTCTGGTCGCCAGGTCCCCCCGAACGGCCCCGTGTCCCCTGTCCCCACGGCACTCACTGTTGATACCCTCCGTGTTGGAGATGGTCCCGCTGCAGATCGCGTCGTAGTACTGCTTGTTGCTCATCAG